AGTTTTATTTTGGAAAAACAATGACCAGACACAGATTCCCGTCATTAACCATGCTCTGATAGGGCTAGGGGGTGAAACTACCTCCGGAGGCTGCCGATTTACTGGATGTCCGGGACACATGAACAATGGGGTGTTAAACTCTAGTTTGGGAAATGGCGATTATCGTAGATTCGCGTTCCAAATATTGGTCTCCTCCCTCGTGTTCTACCGAACGTTTTACGTTAGAGAATATTTCACAGCACGTGGTACACGCGGAGGGGCTCTGGATTTCTCCGATTACGACGTCGCACGAATCGCACTCTTCGACCTTGTATCGGTAACCGATATGCATATAATGGCGGACTAAACAGTCGTACTGGCGGCGTTGTGGGCCCGTTAGGTCTCGGAAACACTCTTCACAGAGGTAATGTTTGCTATTACGATTTTGATGGCAGATGGTAAAGACGCACACGGCGCGCGATAACCAGTTCCGCCGCGCAATTCTAGAGGCCAATGGGGTTAGTCGGCGCGCGGGGCGTCGCGTGCGCGGCTCGCTCATGCCGTTTGCTTAATGCCTAGGGGCGTCGTCACTTACCTTTAGTCGAGTTCCAATGGGTGATCCGCGGTGCCCCAGTGTTCTGGTGGTGAGGCGTCGAACCACAGGTGTAGAATCTCGGCGCGGCGCTGGATCAGGCGGATCCGGCGGGGGTCGTCCTTTTTGATTAAAGCGATGAATTCCCAAGATGGAACTGGTGGTGGGTTGTCGGAATCTCTCCCCGGTGTGAAGGTGATCGGGGTTAGCCGATAGTTCTGGGCCTTCCGGAATGCTTGGTAATCTGCACGAGACTCGGCCTTGTCCAGTGGAACGTAGATGTATTGTATACTTTTAATGTTAATTTTGCGCACTGAAGTTACGTTTTCGAGTTTTGGTCTCGCATCCGCTTTGCACGCGGAACTCGCGACGAAGTACTTTTCGTATTCAGGATCGGGCGTGTAATCGGAAAAGACTCCTAACAATGGATTCGGAGGGGTCCCGAACAAAAGGCGGTTGAGCCTGCGGGTGCGTACCTTGAGTCCGCTTCGTCGCGTCTTGGGCATTTGTTAACAACTGGTTGAGGTCAAAAAGACAAATTCGCTTCGGTTGACTCTCCTTGCTTGTGGCGAGAAAGCGTGCTGCTCGTACAGCACTGCCCCTCTCCAGACACCCACGGACGGTAGCGTGCCGCTCGTACGGCACTGCCTCGTACGCAGATGTGGCACAAGGGGAGGACCGGTGATTCGGATGCCTTCTTATAATTACTAAAATACCCACAGGCGGAGACGTGCCGCTCGTACGGCACTGGGCTCGTGTGTGGATGTGGTATAAGTGGGATCAGTGGAGGATGTGCGTAGAGGTGTAAGAATTTGTAGAGTAAGATATTGTATAAAAATGATTGTATATTACGATAATTTTACATAGGACATCTACGAGCTAACATGTGATTACAAAAGTAACAAGATTACAATCAAGAATATATATATATATATTTATATAATTGTCGAGTGAAACGAACGTATGGCGTATTTTTATATGACACGCAATTCTTTATGTAGTGAGAGAGCTGAGGCTCTGGGTTTGGTAACGCACGTGGAGATAGGAAGATTCTCGATGTAGAAATAGGAAGGTTCTGGATTCAGAGAGACTCGAGAAGGATTCAGTGGTTACTTAACTGGAGAGTCCGTGATCGAGGTAGGACTCCGGAGAACTGAGGGCGTCCCTTGGGATGGTCGTCCTTATATTCCTATTTTTCCGATGGCGGGGGTGGTCGAGTGGAAGGGTTGACTGAGTGGAAGGGTTGAGTTGCGTCGTCGGCTTCACTTTCGATTTCTCTCCTTATATGGGCATGGCCTGAGTTTTCTTCCTT